GGCTTTTATCGATAAACAAGCTCTTTCATAATTCCCCAAAGAAAGAAATCTGAAGGTGTGACGTCTGGGGAGCATGCCAACCATTCAACCGTTCCTCAGCGTCCGATCCACTTTCCAGGGACAAAACTAATACAATTAACCAAGTAAACAGAGAGAAATAAGTAAGAAAATAAATAAATTGCAAGACAAATATTAGTATCAGGAATTCATAGAGTATAACCGCTACTTATTAGCTTTCTTCATGAAATCAGATGTTGGAGAGTTTGGTGGAAGTTTACTATGAAAAGTTTATAGAGAAGCTATACTACCGATAATTGTTTAATTTAAGCCAGATCGATCCGGATCAAGAATAAAATAAGAGAGTGAAAAAAAAAAAAAGAGAAACGAAAAAGGAAAAAAAAATAACAGATAAATTGGAAGAGAAAAATCAAAGAAGATATTACTTAAAATGATAGTTAAATTAAAAATAGAAAGATAGAAAGAAAGGAAGGCAGGAAGAAATCAACGAAGAATAAAAGGAAAGAGGAATAAAGAATACAAAGAAAGAAGGAATGAGTTAAATAAAGGTACGAATGAAGTAAGAAAGCAGAAAGGGAGGAAGAATGGAAGAAGAGAAAGAAGGAAGCATTGAAGCAAGCAAGAAAGAAAGGAAAGAAAAATGAAGGAAGCAAGGAAGGAATGAATGAACGAAGGAAGGGAGGACTGAAGCAAGCAAGCAAGGAAAAAAGGAAGGAAGGAATGAAGGAAAGAAGGGAGGAAGGATGGAAGAAGAGAAAGAAGGAAGCATTGAAGCAAGAAAGCAAGAAAGGAAAGAAAAATGAAGGAAGGACTGAAGCGAGCAAGGAATGAATAGATGAATGAAAGAAGGAAACAAGCAAGCAAAGATGGAAGGAAGGAAGGAAGGAAAGAAGGAAGGAAAGAAAGAAGGAAGGAAAGAAGGAAGGAAAGAAGGAAGGAAAGAAAGAAGGAAGGAAAGAAGGAAGGAAAGAAGGAAGGAACGAAGGAAAGAAGGAAAGAAGGAAGGAAGGAAAGAAAGAAGGAAAAGGAAAGAAAGAAGGAAAGAAGGAAAGAAAGAAGGAAAGAAGGAAAGAAAGAAGGAAAGAAAGAAGGAAAGAAGGAAGGAAAGAAGGAAGGAAAGAAGGAAGGAAGGCAGGAAACAAGGAAAGAAGGAAGGGAGGCAGGAAACAAGGAAGGAAATAAAGAAGGAAGGCAGGAAAGAGGGAAGGAAATAAAGAAGAAAGGAAAGAAGGAAGGAAGGAAAGAAGGAAGGAAGAAAGGCAGGAAGGAAAGATAAAACGAAAGAACAAGGAAAGAAGGAAGGAAGGAAGGCAGCAAAGAAGGAAGGAAATAAAGAAGGAAAGAAAGAAGGAAGGAAGGCAGGAAGGAAGGAAGAAAGGAAGGAACGAAGGAATGAAGGCAGGAAGGAAAGAAGGAAGGAACGAAGGAAAGAAGGAAAGAAGGAAGGAAATAAAGAAGGAAGGAAGGAAGGAAGGAAGGAAGACAGGAAAGAAGGAAAGAAAGAAGGAAGGAAGAAAGGAAGGAAAGAAGGAAGAAACGGAGGAAAGAAGGCAGGAAAGAAGGAAGGAAATAAAGAAGGAAGGAAGGAAAGAAGGAAAGAAGGAAGGAAGGAAGGAGGGAAGGCAGGAAGGAAAGATGGAAGGAAGCAATGTTTTCGAGTTAATATCCTAAAATAAATAATGCTGCTCTACTTTGTATTGAGCCTTCTCTTAAATTAAATGTTACGGACTTTGGAATTGTACTCTATTCGTTCTCATTTTACTTTGATATATATATATATTCAAAATTAAATTCAAAACATTTCACTGTTCGTTTTTCTGTTTTTTTTTATCATTTTATATCAATTTCAAATTCACCTGTTTTTTTCCATGCAAGGGAGGCAACTTTTGTATTTCTTGAAATATATATATATATATTCTTTCCTTCATTGCTATATTCATAGTTGACTTTATTTTTGGCTTTAATTCTCATATATTGTGCTTCAAAGATTTTAAGTTTTTGCTTGTTATTTTGGTGTAATTTCAACTAATATCTATCTAAACTGTGCATGTGGACATGAGTGTTACTTTATATGTTGTAAGCATAGTTCAATCTTACAGCATTTAAAGGAACACTCATGTCTACACACACACACGTGTGTGTGTGTGTGTATGTGTGTGTGTGTGTTATTTCAAGAATAATGGAAGTAATTATTAATAAAACACAAAAGCCCTACACTCAATAATATCGACTATGAACACGGTCAGAACGATGTAGGCGAGTTTAAAATCATTCTTATTGCTATACATACGTTTATGTAAAAATCTAGATATTCGGTTAAAAAACAGAAAAGAAAACATTCTTGATGATGGATAATGAAATAGCTCTCGGATATCTAGAACATTTGGAGAGTTTTTACACACATTATGTCCAGAAAAGAAAGCATTTATACGAATACAAAATAATTGAATAAAACGCGTAATTTCAGTATCTTGTGAGTTGTCTGTAATGAAACTTGTATAAAAGAGGGATTGCTACCGAAATACACAATATATATATATATGTGTGTGTGTGTGTGTGTGTGTGAGTGAGTGAGTGAGTGAGTGAGTGAGAGAGAGAGAGTTCCTGCTGTGAGTGCTACTGGTACCATGTAACCCAATGATACTTGCAGTATGATCAAGGCATCGGAGACTAAAACAGTTCTCCAACGAGGCTTTTCTGGAAAGAAGGCTTGTTAGACGCTCAGCGGGATTAAAGTCAATACCAATCAAAGTGCAGATGGACCTTCTCGTAGAGTCATCGACCATCAAGAACAATTGTCTCCACAGCGATGTCTGCAGGAAGTCCAGTCATGTCACGGCATTGATGGCGAAAAGAGTGCTTACTATACCGAAGTTAATGGGTAAGGTGGAGGGTTGTCCCAATTGAGCTATCTAGGATCAAGGCCAGCCTTCAAGCTGAGGCATATCTACTGTGGTTTGATCTGGAAAGTAATACGCTCCGCCAAGTCTACTTGCCCAAGAGAAGCTACCCACGAATGATTACCTCTGCGTCTTGCAAACCAGAAAAATTCCTGGGAAATTTAATGGAGTTCAGAGATCATGCGTCCACATCAGGTCATGAATGATGGTGGTGAATAATGATGATGATGATGATGATGATGATGAAGTAATGCATTATTTTAAACAAGAAAAAAAGAAAGAAAGAACACAAGCCAAAAATGAACGGAAGGTATATTTAAAGAAAAATAAGAAGAAAGGAAAGCTGAAAAATAAAAAAAAGAAATTGAGAAAGAAGGAAGAAATAGTTAATGAAAAGAATAAACAATAAAAGCGGGAAAAGAATGAACGAAGAAAACATTCACAGAAGAGCAAGAAGAAAGACTGGAGCGAAAGAAAGAAAGAAGAAAAGAAACGAACAGCATGAAAACGGAAGATGAAAATATTGGTTTCATTTTTACGGCTTATCTACCATTTGCAGGTTATTTAAAACTAGGACATATTTGTAAATATTAAGACTGTTTTAGATATAATAATGACTACCTGACACAAGCCCTACTAATTAACTCACAACCTCGGGGAGAGGAGGTAGATTTCTACCTTTCCTAAGAGGATTTGCGTGAAAGTGAACACAGGTATACCTCACCCTACATCGTTAATTGGTTCCAAAGGTTACCATTTAGGTGGAAAAACGACTTAAGTCGAAATAACCACCATATCAACCGCAGATAAGCACTCACCATTGCATATTACAGTATTTATGATATGTATGTACAGTATTCTGAATAAAATAAGTTTATCAGCGATATAGCCTTACGCTTAGCATAAGCAATGAAAAAACGGTCTGACAATTTTTTCCAATATTATCCAGTTTCGTCAACGTTAAAAATCTGTTCAAGAAGAAACCCGTTTTCTTCGATGATATTAGCCAATGATTTTTGAAAATCGGCGGCTGCTTGTTCGTCAGCTGATGCTCTTTTATTTTGCTTCTTAATAGAGTGATAACTTCGTTATTTAAAACTCATAAACCAGCCTTGACTGGTTTTAAACTCTACATCTTTCTCGTCTGGTTATTTTTTGTTCCGGTACTCAAACAAACACAACGCTTTCGTTTTAATTTCTTGACTAATAACAGCACGCTGATGATTCAACCTATCAGTCCAAAGAGGAAGAATCTGTTCCATCTCTTCCTAGATTTTTTTCTCTTTTCTTATTGATAACAGTATACTTCATCCCTGGGACATCAGATTTGATTTGTACCAAAATCATATCCTTATTGTGAACAATCGTCGATAGAGTTGTCCGACTCATTCCAAAAGATCGAGCAATCGATATAACCTTTTCCCCTTTTTCATAGCGTTTTATCATAGTAAGTTTATCGTCCAGCGTTATTGCATGATGCTTAGAACTTTCACTAACAATTTTCTTAGGAGCCATTGGGTAAAAATATAAAGTCACAAATGAATGAAAATGAGAGAGTAGGCAATAATCAGACGTATACCATGCGTACGCCTAAACTAAACTGGATTTCAAATTCACTGGATTCACGAGAGACGCTGACAAAGACGCCAAACGGTAAATATTGGAACTACCGAGGAAAACGCCAATATTGAGCTCTTAAAGACCAGTAAATAAGACGATAACATAGAGTCACAGATGTTTTCATATATCGTTCTCTAGGGTTTATGAGGATTATATTAACACTTACTGTAAATGTACGTATTTTAATATGGTTTTATATACTTTTATTCTTATTTATTGTATAGTAACATGATTTTATGTGCTTTTAACGCTTTTCTAGTTATATTAAGATTTCAATATTTGTGACGGACAGACGTAAAATGATTTTAATATATTTTTTTTTTACAAATGACGTATAATCGAGAATGACTTAACACGAAAGGACGTAACCCGAGGTATACCTGCATAACGAAATCGACTGGAATTGGAACTCAGCTTACCAATTCCGAGCCGTTAACCAGTACACCACTATGCAAATTCAAGCTTACAATACCTGATATTCGCAAACTGTTACCCATCTAGGTACTGACCAGGCTCGGCGTTGCTTAACTTCGATAATCGTACGAGAACCGGTGTTTCAACGTGATATGGCCGTAAGTCAAAAGGGAAAGAGCTGGATGGAGGAATTGATATTAAATGTAAAAGCAGAAAGCTAAAGAAAGAAATTAAACGGGATGGATGGGAGCGGCCATTTTTATCGAAAAGGAAATAAAAAAGAAAACATAAAAAAGTGGAACGGAAGGGATACAGTGGAGGTGGTAAGAAAGAAATAAAATGTAATGTATGGAAGAAAGTTTTTTTTTAAAGCTGTAAAGAAAAAGAAGGAAATAAGGTACGTTTAACGAAAAAGAATTAAAAAGAAAACTAAGGAAGGAAGGAAGGAAGGAAGGAAGGAAGGAAGGAAGGAAGGAAGTTAATAAATGCCGCAAATAAAATTAAAGGCACGTAATTAGCCATTCGGAATCTTTCGCCAACCTCCATATAAGACAGTGTCCCAGGAGACGGCAGATAAAATGGCGACTTATTTCCGTGCTTTTTATTAATAGCAGTGATTATATCAATGTTCTTTCTTTCTGGTCAGTCTGTTGAGGCTCCAGAGATCTCTCTATTTATTTATTTTTTCCTTTCTGTTAAGAAATCCAATAACTAGCCATGCTTCTTCTAATCACACTTTTATAAGCGCATATCTGCGAGAGTATAAAAAAGGGATATTGATATGAATTCATTTCAGATATAAAAAAAAGGTCTTCTACATTTGCAAGGGTTAATAAAATGGTGGATTTTATATATTAAATATTCACCCAATACAAGACCCAAGAGCCACTAAATGTAGGGTGTTATTGAATGTGGTTGCGGTAAGGACGTATGTGGCATAAGGAAGTATAGATTATGAGGATATATAAAATAAATAATGGTTAACCCTCCATTTGAAATGCAGGAATGGAAATAAACTCTACGGAAAAGGATGCGAAAATTCGCATAGCTGAAGCCTGGGCCACCTTAAATAAAATGGCTATAATCTGGAACTATGATCTACCAAACAACCTCAAGTGAAGATTCTTACGAGCCACTGTAGAGCCGGTGTTAATGTATAGTGCCATTGCTTGGCCATTAACTAAAACCCTTGAGTCTAAGCTTTACTTGGAAGCTGGGAGCTATACTTAACGCCTCTTGGAGACAATACCCAACTAAAGCACAGCTCTATGGAGCAATCCCTGATATTTCTACAATCTTACACGAACGATGGATGCGCCTTGCAGAACAAGAACTAGCAAGTAAACTAATGCTCTGGACTCCTACCTACGGAGCAAAGATGGTTTAATCGCACAGCAATCACTCAAATTGATCAACTATTTTAAGACACAGAATGATACCCTAATGACCTTTCGACCTTGATGCAGGGCCATGATAGTTGTCGTGATAGAATCATGAATGTCCAAGAGTGTAGTTATATATCTATCTATATAATACAAAAAAAGCCTGTCATTGCGTGCTTGTGTGGTGCGTCCGTCCGGTGCATAATGATTTACGATTTGTTTATACAGCAATTATTTTTATTTTAAATTTCTTCAGGCATAAAATTATTTTAATTTAAACATTTTTTAAATTAAAGGCAGTCATAAAAAATCCCGTTTTACTGTTTCGTCCAGTTGTTTGTAGAGTAATTATTTATATATCAGCGTTAGTAAACAAACACTATTTTAAACATTTAAAAACATAATTTTTGGCATATATTTTCAAGTAAATATGATTTTAAAATATTTTTTGGCATATTAAAATATATTTTAAGTTAATCTGATTTAAAGTTGAAGTTTATACCGGAAGTTCTATTCTTATAAATGCTGTAAACAATCAATAAAACGTTAGACATGAACTTGTAAACTAGACCAATGATGGTACAAAGGAATTGAAATATTTAACTGAATCATAATACAATTAACTTTCATTTCAATATTATGTTGAAATCAAGTTCATTGTTTTATAACCTGAACCGCCAGTGACTTAACGAGTTACGGGTAAACTAGTATAGTATAGTATTTTCGCGGTTGTCTGTTTTACAAAGTAATAGTTATTTGTAATAATCTACCCAGGTGGAACTTTCTTCTTGTCAAGAGAATACGAAGGTGACAATGGTAATTGTACCCTATGTTCATTGGTATGGTGGGTCCTAGCTGTAAAGTTCAGGGCTGATGGCATTAAGGAATGTAGCTATTCAGAACATTTGCCATTGAAATAGCAATAAAATATCGAGAGGCTGGCGACGAAAAACAAGTTGTAGGGTGGATAACGTTTGGAAATATGAGAATAAGAAGACGTAGCGGTTAGTAAATCTAGTAAGAATTAGGACAAAGAGGGATGTTAAAAAGTTAAAATTTACTCAGAACAATAAAATAGAGGATATTGTAGTGAAACCCATATTTTGTACGGGCATGGCACAAACATTAATTAGAGGTGAAGTGCTGTGGCCTTGTTAGGGCCAGAAATAAAGACGCAAGAATAGAAGTGAGTTAAATATATAAAACAGTAATACAAACATATACAAACGAGAATGTTACAGCAAGAATGTTCGGTCCGACTGTCAGAGCTGACTGCTGGAAACTTCCCTCTCCAAAAGGCAGTACCTGCTCCTATTTATAGCTGGGACATTCCATGCGTGCGTGAGTAAATTACCATAGCATGAAGAAAGCCGTAGAATGAAACGGTCTAAACGTTATTGTTGTGGTGTCCTCCCTCTAAGAGTATGTTAGACTCTTCCGTCTACTATAAGTTTAGTAAGAGAGAAAGTTCGGGGAACAGTGAACAGTGAATAGATTGAGCGCTAGTTCATTCGATACACTCTTACTAGTCGTGTAATACTCTTCTGGTGTACTTACTGTTTAATATACGATATATCTGCAAACCTGATTTTTGTTATTATTTAACCATTTACTTGGTCACAACAGTTATATATATATATATATATATATATATATATAAAGAAATATAGTCTTAAGGTATGCTATATTTATGGAATAAAGTGCTCAATATCAGAGATAGAGCGTGTAAATATAAAAGTGAACATAGAAGTCAACATTTAGAGGCGACAGTCTGTTTCATATATATATATATATATATATATATATATATATATATCTCCTAATAATTCATCATATCTAGACCTCGAAACCGCAAAAGAATGCAGAAAAACACTGGACGGCCGTTTCGTCCTAATTTTGGGACTAATCGCAGTGAGCATTTACTACCTAAAATCGAACCCGTACCTTTACGATCCAATGCAAATATCATACCACTGGGCTAGCGGTCCTCAGGGACGATGAGGAAACTAAGTAAGTAGACAAAATATAATTTTATTTTCGGTGGTGATACTAATCCATGTATACATATGTCACAGGATTGAACCCAAGAGTAACGACTTCCTTCGCCAAGCCGCTCCATCCAGAGCATTAGAATCTGAATCTAGCATAGAATTATATAACTGAATTAGTAGTAATCCTATAGGTATAAGAATATACACTGGTTCGGAAAACCTTCGGTGCCTTGATCTGGAAATAATCAAACCAATACCAAAGGAAAAAAAAAAGGCATAAAAAAAGAGAAAGAACCAAGAACATGTCCGTTAGCCAAAAATAATCGTCCAATATGCAAGTTCAAAGCCCAATGAAAAAAAAAACCGATACGAGTAAGCAAAACAACTAAATAAAATGCTCAGTACGGTAAGTAGACCAGACCTTGATAAACCTAGAGAGCCAGACAAACCTACTAAGGTTTCACCTAAGCGAATCGTCAGGGAAGGCTGACGATCCGTTTAGGGTGAAACCTTAGTAAGTTTGACTGGTCTCTAGGCTCTATATATATATATATATATATATATATATATATATATATATATATATATATATATATATATATATGAGTGTGTATCTTTAAATTACACTTTTTCTCTATTTAACTATAGTTATCAAAATGTTGTGACCGCTTATTCTTGCAAACATTAAAAGACTAGATTTATAAAGACTGAAAAGAGGGGAGAAAAAAAGAAAGGATTGTCCCTTTTTTTGACTGCACACTGTAAACACACACAGACCTGCATATTTGAAAGGTTAAGTTTGCGTAAAATCGAAGATTAATTTTCACCCCATAAAAGGTGTTCACAGTCAAACACTTTGCTGATTTAATATTTAGCGACGTAATCTAATATTGTATCGTAAGTAAAAGGTGAAGGTTAAGAATTATTTTTTTTAATTGTTTATCTTAATTCATTGGAAAAAAAGTTTGAATAAAGTAACTCCAAACAAAATGTTTTTTTTGCTATCCTCTGCCAGCCGCAATGATGGAGAAAGCATTACCTCACACCATCGCCATTGAGACACGATGCAAGAGCCAAGGTTAAAAATTATTTTTTTTATTTGAGAGTCTTTTGACGTCCCTTTTTCCTCGAGCAGCTAATTTACATTCTAAAATTGTATTAAAGATCGCTTTTATTATCAAAGAAAAGATAACAGTATTTCTAAAGATCTTCCCAGAATTCAACATTAGCGGATTAACAGACTAATCTAATACCTGTTTATACCTGACGACATTTATTTACATTTACTTATTTTTAATGATATTTAACGACTTACCTCATTTCCCTGTTCCATTCTATTTTATTCGCATATTGTTCATTTTATTAATCGATTATTCGTATTCTTCATCTTCAAGAGATTATCTTTTGCAATGTTTTATTCTTTCTGTCAACTGTTTGACATTTGTATAATTAGCTTTTTTTCTTCCTTTTCATCTTCGTCTTCAACTGAAGCTTGCGATTGTATGAGCGAAGAGCAAGCCGACACGAGAACAGAGAATTTCTAAAGTAGTGAATTTAACATATTAAAAGAGGAAAAACAATTACAATATTCCTTTCCGAATAAATGCTAATTTAGCTGAAGATTTTTGACTTATGAATGTTTTCAACATTACATTATAAGATTAAACATTTTACATATGTTTTGCGGTTTACCAATAGTATTCCTATTTAAAACAAGTTTAAACGTTTTTTTGTCCTATCTCATATTGCATATTTTGTCTTATTGATTTCATCTATACAATTTTCTTTC